CAGTCTCTACTTTATTGTCTGCTTTCGTCTCGGTTTTTGTCTTTGCTTTAGACTTTACTCCAGTATCTGCTTCAGTCTCTGTTATCTGTCTCAGCTCTAGATTTGACTCTATAGAAAAGAGTATAATTTACTTTTACTGCTCTTCTTATCAGCTCTGTCCCCTGAGTCAGAAGGAGGATCACATCCAGATGTTCTGAGACAGACGTGTGGAAAAAACATGTTTGTGTCTCGCCCCAAACTCATCAGACCTGAGTCATGTGCAAGACTCATGTTATTATAATCCCAGCACCTGTGGATCACTCTGCACAGTCTACGCTTTAGTCTCTGCTTCAGTCTCTGCTTCAGTCTCTGTTTCAGTCTCTGCTTCAGTCTCTGCTTCAGTCTCTGCTTCAGTCTCTGTTTCAGTCTCTGCTTCAGTCTCTGCTTCAGTCTCTGCTTCAGTCTCTGCCTCAGTCTCTGCTCCAGTATCTGCTTCAGTCTCTGCTTCAGTCTCTGCTTCAGTCTCTGCTTCAGTCTCTGCTTCAGTCTCTGCTTCAGTCTCTGTTTCAGTCTCTGCTTCAGTCTCTGCTTCAGTCTCTGCTCCAGTCTCTGCTTCAGTCTCTGCTTTAGTCTCTGCTTCAGTCTCTGTTTCAGTCTCTGCTTCAGTCTCTGCTTCAGTCTCTGTTTCAGTCTCTGCTTCAGTCTCTGCTTCAGTCTCTGCTTCAGTCTCTGCTCCAGTATCTGCTTCAGTCTCTGCTTCAGTCTCTGCCTCAGTCTCTGCTTCAGTCTCTGCTTCAGTCTCTGCTTCAGTCTCTGCTTCAGTCTCTGCTTCAGTCTTTGTTTCAGTCTCTGCTTCAGTCTCTGCTTCAGTCTCTGCTCCAGTCTCTGCCTCAGTCTCTTCTTCAATCTCTGCTTCAGTCTCTTCTTCAGTCTCTGCTTTAGTCCTGAAAGTCACAGGCATTTTGAAATAATGCAGTGAATGTGTTTATTTACCATTTCCAATCTACTGTCATCACTTTTTAAAAGAATGCAGTCCCACAGTTTTTGCTGAATATTGTATTCCCATAATACACCCCTCCCCTCCTCCTCCTCCTCCTCATTCAGATTCTGGCCTTTTTCAAACCAATTGGAGCCGAATCCGAGTCATGAGGAATCCTTTTGGAAAAGACAGTGGATTATGTGGATACAACAGTCAGGAGCCACGTTGCCAAAACATCATCCATCAGCTCTTTTTTTTCAAGTCTACATTCTGCACATTTACCATCTACACCTCAGTCTCTGCTTCAGTCTCTGCTTCAGTCTCTGCTTCAGTCTCTCATGTCCAGTATATTACAAGTTACACACCCCAGCTTTAATCGCTCCTCACATCTCTGCGTGGTCTCTCTCACCTCTGGGCGTGGTGCGTTCAGGTGCCTCTCTGATCACCGGAATCCGCCGTGTGCCTCCTCTGTCATTACCCCCACATCAGAGGGTCGCAGCAGTTACAGCAGGAGCAGCCTGTGGTTTGGACGGGTGGAGCTGACCCCGTGGATCAATAGCACCTTTGCCCCAGAGCGAATTCAAACTCTCCTGATGACAATGGACTGAAGAGAAGATGAGGTTTGGATGAATGTGTTTAGTTTGTTGTTTGAGCGACAGATGCACAGACTCTGACTGATGCCCTGCAGGGGCTGCTCCCTCCCTGTTCCCCTACTGCCACAAGTTTATACTCTTTATAAGGCAGTTAACTTAGACCTGCTGTAGTCTCTGCGTGCATTTGTCTCCAGTAGGTTTGACCACAGATCGCTCCAAACGGGCTGTAAAAAACTGGAGCTCGAGTCCTGACTAGGTCCCAGGAAGTACCATCACATTAGTCCAGTCCTCAGGTCTCTGCTTCCTGTGGCTCAGAGAAAAGACTTTAAACAGCTCTGCTCATTACAAGTCTCTCTATGGCCTCGCACCAAAGTACATTACTGACATGTTAGTCCCATATGAAGCAAGGAGGACTCTGAGGAGCACAGGGACTGGTCTCCTGCTGGTCTCAAAGTTGGAAGTAAACATGAGGAGGTGTTTCAGATTCATGCTGCTGAAATCTGGAACAGTCTTCCAATACATATGAGACTGGCTTCTATTCTGACAATCCAGGTTGAAAACAATTGTTTTTGATTGCAACAACTGAGGGATTTTATATTTACCATTTTTAATGCACTCATTATTTGGGATTTCAATGTGCCTTGTGTGATCTTTTCTGTTCAGCACTCTCTGCTGTCCACCACGGAGAAGACAGAGGCGCTATATTCGGTCTGAGTATTCGCACTAAGACCAGGCCGCAAGTCGGGTTGGAGGCCGAGTGGTTTTGAAACTCCGGAAGCAGTGATTATTAACCTCTGCTTTTGCCCAGTGGAAATGGGACTTAAACACAGTTTTTATGTCACTAATCATTTCCAAACTGCCTTTTTAACAGTATTCCCTCTGCATTAGCTTGTGTGTAGTCTGTCATCTCAATGTTTGCCCTGAGTAACGAAACACCCGCCATTTACGAGCGTTTGATATCACAGATCCAGCTCCTGTTGATGAAACCACCACCACGTCTGCCTTTGTTCCTCTCACGTCACAGGGAAGATTAAAGACCAGACCAAATCCACGATTAAGACCAGTCCACAAACCGGCTCTCAGTGGGATCAAGCTCCCGACAAGTACACGCAGTACCCATCGTACAGTGCGAAGAATTTAAAAAAAAAACAGTATTCCCCCGACGCCTTCATTATGAATGCACTTTTAGATCCTGTTTTAGTCTGTTTAAATCTGCTTTAGTCCTAACCCAGATCTGCTTCAGTCTTTATCTAGACCAACTTGTATTCCACCTTTAGTCCTTATTTAGACCCGCTTCAGTTTCAGAAGACCTAATTTTAGTCCTAATCTAGATCGACTACATTTCTGCTCCAGTCCTTGCATCATAATCTAGAAATACTAACCCATTCCATGTTTTCTAAAGATTATGGCAAATTCACAAATTAAACATTTTGCAATCAACCATTTCAGACAGATCTAAACCAATGAATTTCTGAACATGGAATATCATTAAAAATAAATGGTTCTCTCTTCTTTGCCTTTCAGAACAATTTTGCATATATTTGTCTATATTTCTATTGAATAAAACCAGAAAATGTGTTTAAACTACAACCAGGACACCGTTTAAACCACGATATGTTTTAATGCAAATGCAGATATGAGACTTCGAGGCTATAGTGTCGTACTTCAGACATGACATGAATACTGTGTCCAGCAGCAACAAAGAGGAGATTAGCACAGATCCAAAACGTGATGGAGGAGAGGTGGGTAGAAGTAGCATTTCTTTAAGAAGCTGTTCAATATAATTCCCAGGAACCATAACAGTGACACCTATATATATATATATATCTCAAATGTTTATGTACTTTATCACATATGTTTGAGTCAAGTTTACAAATATGTGGCAAAAAGAAATAAGATTATAGACTACCTGAAGTATATTTGCCTTAGTTATTAATGAAAAAGGAACGCTAAGCTAACGTGGCTAGAATAATGTTAGCTTTACCATTTTTTTCCCACGTTGCGAAAATGTTTGTCTTAGTCCAGATTCTTTAAGATAATTGTAGCTAGCAATGGTAGCTGAGCATGTTCAACGTAATAATTTGACAGTTTAGCAGTCAGCTCCTGTCCACATTTTGTTCACATTTCATCACGTTTTATGTTTTAGTTATGCGGCAAAATGCTTCTAGATTATATTAAATCTCAATTTGTCTTAAAATTAGATTTAGTCTAGGATTCATTTTTGTGAAATAGGGATGCTAAGGTAACGCAGCTAGTAATAATGGTGGCTTAGATTTAGTGTTAAGCTAATTTTTAAAACTCTGTATCCAATTAAGTTATGAGATGACTTAGCTGCGGTAAATATAAAAACCTTATAAATTGTAACATTGGCTGGATAGAATTATATCAGCTGAGCTTTTGATGCACTAAAAAATCTGTATACATTTCCCCCTACATTATTATTATAGTACAAATGGGGTTTTAAAACTTGTTTAATCTTAAGATGATACATAACGCCTACATTTAAACCAAACAATGAGCATCATCTTAAAAAGGCTGAGAATGCCAAGCTAGTACTAGCACATAGCATGTACTAGCTTAGCATAGTCTTATTGAGTTGAATAGTTAGCTTCTCTTCAAATTTTGCACGTGTTTTAAAAAGGGCCTATATTCAATCGTCCTCGTCCTTTTAAAGCTGTAAAAAGCAGCAAAAACACTGGAAATGTGGAACTGACAAAGCTAGCATGCTGTTAGCTTACATTGAAATCGCTACAAAACACGCTTATAAACTCATTGCAGTGAATCCGAATTGGAAAAATGTGTGAAAAGGTCAGAAATAAGCTTTTGGACAGCTACAAACAGTTAGAAATGAACAGTTTGATTATTTCATGACATCAATCATCAAACACAGGCTCTATTCTGTTTGGTTTTGTCCTAGTAGCTACACTAACTCAAGTAGCATTCCACAAACTGCTTTAAAAAACTATTACAGTAGTATTTTGGACAACTATACCTCTACTAAAGTCATATTTTTGAGTATTCTTTGTCTACTCTACCCACCTCGGCGGCTAGCTCACAGATGCGATCAACTTAAGCTTTAGCATTAGCTCGCATTAGCATGTTTAAGGCACTGTATAGAAGTGCTACGAGTATTTTTCTTTGCACAAATTCATACTTGTACATTGACTGACATCGGGTTTCGATCCGGTTTTTCAAAAAGAGTCAGAATTAAACTGTATATAAACCATTAAACCATATAAAACATATAAAAAACACCTGATTGTTCGATAAACTAACAGTCATTTTGCATTTGCATATCCCCAGGCTCAGAAACACAAGAAAATCGACAACAGACTTCCCATTTGTTCAATAAATTAAGGTATAAAAAGCCATTGTGTGGGTATTTGGTGTGGGGGCTTTAGAGCTCGCTTGGTCGGTTGTGGAAAGTGGAAAAAGTTCTTAAATAAAAGTTAAAAGTTCTTGAATAGGTCCAGGTCTTTCTGTGGGACGGGCGGGTCCTTCTTCCAGTCGTCTTCAGGGTAAACGTCAAAGTTAGACGTGTCGCCATCGTGAGAAACTTTGGGGATGATAGGTGGCTGAAGAGAAAAAGTAGAAAAAGAACATTTACAATGCTATTCTCTGTTCTGATAAAACAAATGAGGGAGTTACACCATACAAGGAGCTGCCGGTGGTGGCCTTTTCCCTAAGAAGCAGATTTAGGGCCCATCCCAATTCTGAGGGCACTTGAATTATGAGAGCCCTCAACAAAGAAGTAAAGCAAATCTATGCAGCAAACGTGTACCACGTCACGCACACAACATCGACGTGTCTGATTTCACCGTACAAAGATAGAATTTATGAAACCAAGTATGTATTAAAGTGCAAAATCTAGGGTAAGGTAAAAATTAAGGACTGGGGGAGAACTGGAATGGGGCTTTGAGCTAATGCTGCTAGCTACTGGGTGGCTACTAGGATGTACTATATAGATACACTGTATATACTAGAATAGGCTGGTTATCTGGTTCACAAACAAAATCATTCACCTACCCCACGGTTGTTGTACCCATTTTGGTCAGGGGCCAAAAAGAAAAAAGAAAAAAAATGTTTTTGTCTTTTAGACGTTTTTCTGTTTTTATTTGTGGGCTCATATTTTGCATCTGATTTTACTTGTTATCAAATTATGTAGGTTTTAGACAAAGTGATTTATTTATTTTGAGTTTTTTTAGATGGATAATGCTAACCTGCTCTATGAAGCCCAATAGAGAACTGCTTCTGTGTTTTCTCAGATTCACAGGAGACAAGAGAGACACCAGTAAATGGTGCTGCTAATTTAAACACAACAACAAATTATTCAAGGAAACAGCATTCTATGGGCCGGTAAACTGGACACAGATTCTCGCCTAGCAATCGCTTAGCAACTAGACAGCCAATCAGAGCTTGCCATCCGCTACATGCAGCCAAATCCATGGATAAAACACTGATTGGTCGGTTACTAAAGGTCACAGAGACACAGATTCATAAATTGTACCTTAAGTTTTCTCAGAGGAACCGCCTCCCAGTCGACCGTCTTGAACCAGCGATGTCTCTTGATGTCATCTGCTCCGTTCTGGTGCAAACAAATGAACACGTCTTATTTAATCTTTAACATTCTTTAATACTAACAGAGAGACCAGAGAGGGGATAGATAGATACCATAGAGCAAGAGAGAGCACAGGGAGAAAGTGAAAGTGAGAGAGAGAGACAGAGAGAGAGGAGAGGAGAGGGGAGGGCTGGGTGAAGTGAGTCTCTTGAGAGTTTAAATCAGTGATGTGGATGAAGAATTTTCCCAATGGGTGTTTGGAAAATTATGGCCATTCTGACGTGGGACTAAGACAGGAAACAGGAAGTGATCATACCTTCATGTTGCCCAGACGTCTGGCTCTGTCGATCACCAGGAACTTCTTGATTAAATCTCTGGGGAAGATACGAAATAAAAGAAAATTAAAGAGAAAGTGACACCTGGACCTGAGCCAGGAGCAGCAACTGTGCTTCCAGTGGTCGGCAATCTGTTTTATATAATTCAATATTTACACTTTATGTATGTATATTGGGGTCGTGGGTTCGAGCCCACCGTGAGACCCACTTCACGACTCCCACTGATGACTGCTGTCGTTCTGTCCTTGGGCAAGACACTTAACCCCACTTTGCCCGAAGCAGGTGGACTCACCACCTGCAGGAGGATCAGTGAGGGGCTGGTGCTGTGTGTACTAGGTGCATCTCTGACTGCCACCCCCCCGACCCAGAAATGGATTAAGAGGAAGAAAATGGATGGATGGATGGATGGGTATGTATATTGAAAATTATTGAGTCTGTTTCTTTAATGTTTTAAATGTGAAATAACAATCTTCAGTAGAACCAGAGAGAGAGAGAAAAGACCGAAGAGACACCAACACAGACTCATGTTCTCTGTTCCTTCTTCCCTTTAATGGAACTATTGTCCATGAGTCTGATGTCCCTCACGGGTCAAACTGTAATTACAGCGCTCCATGACCTTTGCTCCTCCACACCCACATTGTTTAGAGAGACACCAGAGAGAGAAAGACCAAAGAGGGAGGCCAGAGAGACCCGAGAAAGAGACGGACCAAAGAGAGATCAGAGAGGGACCAAAGAGAGAGAGAACAGAGATAGACCAAAGAGAGTGTGACCAGAGAGATACCAAAGAGAGAGAGACCAAAGAGAGAGACCAGAAAGAGAGAGACCAAAGACAGAGAGAGAAAAGAGATAGACCAGTGAGAGACCAGTGAGTGACCAGAGAGAAAGACCAGAAAGAGAAACCAAAGAGAGACCAAAGAGAGTGTCACCAGAGTGAGACCATAGCGTGAGACCCGTTAGAGAGATACCGAAGAGAGAGAGACCAGAGCGTGGAGAGCATCTTACATCCTCACGAATGTACGCTGAACAAGTGGACGAGTCTGCTGAGGTCATTCAGAGTTCAAACATTTACAACTGTGAAGCCAAACAGCTAAAGCTAACAGCTAAAGCTAACAGCTAACTTTACTTTACAAGGTCACGCATTGAGCCAGTGTCAGTGAGGGTCAAAGCAGGACACAAGGTCAGAGGGATTCATGTTAGCTTAGCCTACTCTAGCAACAAGTAACAAAAGTGATCAAATGAACCCTGTGAGTCACTATTTGACCCTTTGGGCTGAAAGCTCCATGTTCACTTTTCTGTCTGAAAAAGTTGATCTAAAGAAACGACAAAGGCCAGAAATCCCATATTTTCCGGACTCTACACCGCAGGCTCCAATTTTTAGAAAGAAATTTAATTCTGTACTTGTACAAGCCGCACCTGTGCCACATTTTAATACTGAAAAATGTTTCTCATAATTGTTTATTGTGTCTTCTTATTTCTTTGAGCAGTAGCAGTAGTAGTAACAGTAGCAGTAGAATAGTAACAATAGAAGTAGAAGTAGTAACAGTAGTAGTAGCAGTAGTAGTTGTAACAGTAGTAGTGGTAGTAACAGTAGTAGCAGTAGTAGTAGTGACAGTAGCAGTAGTAGTAGTAGTAGCAGTAGTAGTAGGAACAGTTGTAGCAGTAGTAGTAGTAACAGTAGCAGTAGTAGAAGTAGTAACTGCAGTAGTACACGAGGCCTTACTTGACATAGAAGTCCAGGTGTCGTGGGAATTCCAGTTTTCCCGCCAGAATCTTCTGGTAAATTCCAAACGGGTTGTCGTCAAAGAAGGGCGGGTACCTGTGACAAAGACATGCGTGAAAACCGGCCACCAGAGAGACTAGATACAGACCAGAGAGACTAGATACAGACCAGAGAGACTAGATACAGACTAGATACAGACCAGAGAGACTAGATACAGACCAGAGAGACTAGATACAGACCAGAGAGACTAGATACAGACCAGAGAGACTAGATACAGACCAGAGAGACTAGATACAGACCAGAGAGACTAGATACAGACCAGAGAGACTAGATACAGACCAGAGAGACTAGATACAGACCAGATACAGACCAGAGAGACTAGATACAGACCAGAGAGACTAGATACAGACCAGAGAGACTAGATACAGACCAGAGAGACTAGATACAGACCAGATACAGACCAGAGAGACTAGATACAGACCAGAGAGACTAGATACAGACCAGAGGGACTAGATACAGACCAGAGAGACTAGCTACAGACCAGATACAGACCAGAGAGACTAGATACAGACCAGATACAGACCAGAGGGACTAGATACAGACCAGATACAGACCAGAGAGACTAGATACAGACCAGATACAGACCAGAGGGACTAGATACAGACCAGAGGGACTAGATACAGACCAGAGGGACTAGATACAGACCAGAGGGACTAGATACAGACCAGAGGGACTAGATACAGACCAGATACAGACCAGAGGGACTAGATACAGACCAGAGGGACTAGATACAGACCAGAGAGACTAGATACAGACCAGATACAGACCAGAGAGACTAGATACAGACCAGATACAGACCAGATACAGACCAGAGAGACTAGATACAGACCAGAGGGACTAGATACAGACCAGAGAGACTAGATACAGACCAGATACAGACCAGAGAGACTAGATACAGACCAGATACAGACCAGAGAGACTAGATACAGACCAGATACAGACCAGAGAGACTAGATACAGACCAGATACAGACCAGATACAGACCAGAGAGACTAGATACAGACCAGATACAGACCAGAGAGACTAGATACAGACCAGATACAGACCAGAGAGACTAGATACAGACCAGAGAGACTAGATACAGACCAGAGAGACTAGCTACAGACCGGAGAGACTACAGACCAGAGAGACTAGATACAGACCAGAGAGACTAGATACAGACCAGAGAGACTAGCTACAGACCAGATACAGACCAGAGAGACTAGATACAGACCAGATACAGACCAGAGGGACTAGATACAGACCAGAGGGACTAGATACAGACCAGAGAGACTAGCTACAGACCAGATACAGACCAGAGAGACTAGATACAGACCAGATACAGACCAGAGGGACTAGATACAGACCAGATACAGACCAGATACAGACCAGAGGGACTAGATACAGACCAGATACAGACCAGAGAGACTAGATACAGACCAGATACAGACCAGAGAGACTAGATACAGACCAGAGAGACTAGATACAGACCGGAGAGACTAGATACAGACCAGCAAGACTAGATAGAGACCAGAAAGAGAGACCAGATAGACTAGAGAGGCCAGGGAAAGAAACCAGAAAGACTAGATAGAGACCAGAGAGTTCAGTGAGAGCCATTAAAGCCTTTGAGCTCCATCTCTGCTAATATCAGGAACTTCTGGCATAAACTAACTCCTCGTTAAGAGGAAAAAAAGTATTTCTTGTATTTGTCAAACTCTTCCTGGCGTCTGTCTGCTGCAGAGGGAGGCTCCTGCTGAGTTCAAACCAAATTTACTGATGACATTTGTAACAGTTTCCCATCGTTCTGAGAGAGTTCAAAGAGAAGCAAGAGAGAACAAGTAAAATGGAGGTAGACATGACCAGAATACTCTACTCTACTAGTAGTGGTAGTAGCAATAGCATCAGCAGTAGTAGCAGCAGCAACAGTAGCAGCAGCAGTTGTAGTAGCAGCAGTGGTTTGTGTAAGTCGGGCTTATAGAGCTTCATTCACCCTAACACAGCTCCACGGCTCGTTGCATATTGTCTCTGACGCGTGTAGCTTTAGGACCTTCTCCACGTGACCCACTCATGAGCTGTTGCCAAGAGAATAGCTTTCATTGTGTCTAAATCACACTTATGTTCCGTCAAAGCCTTGGCTCTAAGACCAGGCCGCAAGCCGGGTTGAGTGCCCAGCCGTGTCCTCAGAGTGAGAGGTTAGTGTCCTTGTTTGATGTTCTGTCTCTTTGATTCGTCCGTCTGATGACATCACAAGTTTTGACACCAGATCCTCTCTACTCCTGCACAGTTCTCACACAGACGTCACATTCCGGCGTCTGCGGAGCCTTACGTAACGAGACGAGCTCAGCAGAAGGAGCTGGAGAAGACATCAGGGCCGAGGGAGAGAGTATGGAGGAGGCATCAGGGGGAGGAGTGAATGAAAGAAGCTTTGTTCCACTCTCCAGGTTCTAATGTTACTGCTGCAGAAGCCGACAATATGGAGGTGACGGCCGTTGTCATGGGAGATAAGAAACATGCAAAATTCTAAGCCAACTGCTGCTGCCACTGGTGCTGTGTTGAGCTGAGAGCTGATTGGCTGAGTGAGGGTGGGTCTTTTTGGAATCACACACAACCCGGTCTCCCTCACTCCGGTCTCCCTCACTCCGGTCTCCCTCACTCCGGTCTCCCTCACTCCGGTCTCCCTCACTCCGGTCTCCCTCACTCCGGTCTCCCTCACTCCGGTCTCCCTCACTCCGGTCTCCCTCACTCCGGTCTCCCTCACTCCGGTCTCCCTCACTCCGGTCTCCCTCACTCCGGTCTCCCTCACTCCGGTCTCCCTCACTCCGGCCTCCCTCACTCCGGCCTCCCTCACTCCGGCCTCCCTCACTCCGGTCTCCCTCACACTCCGGTCTCCCTCACTCCGGTCTCCCTCACTCCGGTCTCTCTCACTCCGGTCTCTCTCACTCCGGTCTCTCTCACTCCGGTCTCTCTCACTCCGGTCTCTCTCACTCCGGTCTCTCTCACTCCGGTCTCTCTCACTCCGGTCTCTCTCACTCTGGTCTCTCTCACTCTGGTCTCTCTCACTCTGGTCTCTCTCACTCTGGTCTCTCTCACTCTGGTCTCTCTCACTCTGGTCTCTCTCACTCTGGTCTCTCTTTCTCCACGTTTCTGTCTGAATAAGCTAAAGATGTGACAGAGGCCAGAGATAAAAGAAAGAGAAGCAAATGTTTTAGATCCAGGAACTAGGAGACATGGTTTTTGTTACATAGTTCTGCTGTGGTTTGAAAGTTACGTGCCCCAGCTTTAACACCTGGATACAGGGAGTTTTATAATGACTTCTCAATGACAGCTTTTATCAAAGCTGGGCCTCAGTCTGTCAGCGCAGTGTAATAGTCTCCACACACAGATCCACCGCAGCCAGTGGATTAAAGCTGGGGGATGTAACTTTCAAGACACAACAACAAGAACTCTGTGATAACATCCATGTCTCTAGTCCCTGGCTCTTAAACTATAATCTCTCTCTGGTCTCTCTCTTTGGTCTCTCTCTCTCTGGTCTCTCTCCCTTTCTTTTGAGAAGAAAACATGTATTAAAGCCAGCTTTAAATATCAAGGAGCTCCTCTTACAGCCTGTGTGTGAATTGTTGCATCATGGGAGCAGGTGAGACAGCGATGGACAAAGTATCATAGACATTTGTTACTGCTGCTTGTACTACTACTACTATACTAATGCTTCTACTATTACTTAAGCTGCTACTACAAACTTGTCCCAACATATTCAATCTAAAGGGAAGAAGAGAAAGGAATAGTGTTTCTGAATTGGGATGCAGCCCATGCCCTCAGCTCGACCCTGGCGCCCTCTGCTGGACGGGCTGAGGACACACCACACTGAAGTCTCTGTCTCACTCACCCGGCCAGCATCTCGAACACCAGTATTCCCAGTGCCCACCAGTCCACCGCTCGTCCGTGGCCTTTGCTCTGGATCACCTCTGGGGCCAAATACTCTGGGGTCCCACACAGAGTCCACGTCCTGAAGGAAAACAAGGCATAACTTACATTACTGAGAGAGCGACGAGAGAGAGATGAGAGAGGGATCATAGAGAGAGCAATGAGAGAGAGACCAGAGAGGGATCATAGAGAGAGCAATGAGAGAGAATTGAGAGAGAGAGATGAGAAAAGAGAGACGAGAGAGGGATCATAGAGAGAGCAATGAGAGAGAATTCAGAGAGAGAGATGAGAAAAGAGACGAGAGAGGGATCATAAAGAGAGCAATGAGAGAGAATTGAGAGAGAGAGATGAGAAAAGAGACCAGAGAGGGATCATAGAAAGAGCAATGAGAGAGAGTTGAGAGAGAGATGAGAAAAGAGACCAGAGAGGGATCATAGAGAGAGCAATGAGAGAGAGATGAGAAAGAGAGACCAGAGAGAGAGAGAGACAAGAGAGGGATCATAGAGAGAGCAATGAGAGATGAGAGCAGAGAGAGTGCGATGAGAGAAAGAGGGACCAGAGAGAGGGAGAGAGAGAGAGAGAGAGAGATAGGGAGACCAGAGAGAAAGCAGAGATGGAAATCAGAGAGAGAGAGACCAGAGAGAGAACAGAGAGATGAGAGCAAAGAGATCAGGATACCATTCACTGATTAAAACAACCACCAGCCAGAGGTCAAGTCAAAACATTGGGTTCAGATACAAAATGCTGCTTCTTCATCAGTCCTCGCTCCTCCTCCTCCTCCTCACTGCTGCCTCAGTTACAGAGACACTGGATCTGGGTCGGTCACACACTCTTACACAGAGGTGCATTGTGGGAGATCAGGTTCCACTCTCTGTTTACAGCAGCTCCAGTTTCACTAACGACCGAACTCCAGGAAACCGCATTTTTACTACAGAGACATCAGGCGCAGTACCAGGCTTCACCAGCAGGGCACACACCCACACAGTCAAATAGGACAGCAACAGAATAGTCATTGGCAGCAGCTAAAAGTGGAGAGAGAGAGAGGGCGAGAGAAAGACCTGAGACTACCATAAACTACTTTCTCCAGCCCTTTTTATTCTCCTCCAAATAATTCATACTTAGCTCGGGTTGGGATTTGAACTATTTCATTCTCTGATCTGTGTTGTCCTCAGCGATAACGAATGTTGTGATTCAGGACGATACAAAAATACATTGAATTGAATAAATAGTTTTAACACAAGCCGCAAATAACATGGTATGAACGCATCTGTACATTTAAACAGAGGCCTGGTTATGTAATAGTGGGAAAGACTGAATACGAGAATGCGTGTGTGTGTGTGTGTCAGTGTGTGTTTCTGAGTGTGTGTCTGACTGTGATTTGAAGTTTGTGATTGATACACAGAGAAAGGTGCAGTGTCACTTCTCTGCAAATCCATCACTATCATGAGTCCATTAGTCTGTCAGCGAGAGCAGAGGAGGAAGAGAGAAGAGAGAGGAGAGGAGGAGGAGAGAGGAGAAGAAGGAGAGATGAGGAGTGAAGAGAGAGAGGAGAAAGGAGAGAGGAGACCCACCTGTCCGACAGCTTCTTGGCGAACCCGAAGTCAGTGAGTCGGATGTGTCCCTCTGCGTCCAGCAGGATGTTCTCTGGTTTGAGGTCTCTGTACACGATGTCTCGCTGGTGCAGGTAGTCGATGGCAACGACGATCTCTGAGGTGTAGAAGAGTCCTGCGGAGTTACTGAAGCGGCCGCGAGTGCGCAGGTAACTGAAGAGCTCCCCACCCGGTACATAATCTAGGAGCATGTAGAGGAAACGCTCGTCGTGGTGCGTCCAGAACCTGAGGACAGAGACGAGACATGAAGAACCAGGAATATAGACCAGAAAATCTCTCCAGTCCCTGGCCCTTTCCCCTCTCTGGCCCTCTCCCCTCTCTGGCCCCTCTCCCCTCTCTGGTCTCTGACAGATGTAATTGCAAACACAGGGACCAGACCCAGACGTTACATGCAGGGAAATGATGATTGACCGGAGCGTACAGTGATAACTAATGTTGAGATTTCATTCAAAGTAAACTTTATTAAACCCAGTGTACGACACTGAGCCTCATTCCCTAATCCAGTTTGAATCACAGCCGCTGGACTCATGTTATTCATAAAAACATAAAAACCTATATTCAATAAAAGTCATTATTTGGTACAAACATGATGATGATAATGACATGATTACTATAATCATGATTATAGAAAAGTCACTGTCCTCTTCTGCAGATTCACACAAACCCTTGATTCCTGGGTTCCCTGTTGTCTTGAGCTCAAACTTTTACGTTCTCTGTTGTTGAAGACTGAGAATGGGAGTTTGAGAAGTGGGCCTTTAGTGAAACTGTGTGTGCAAAGTAAAATAGCGTGCGTTTAATTCCATCTCGCTCTAATCTTCATATATTTAGCACACGTGATAAACATAACCCCCTAATGCAGCCCACACACACACACACACACACACACACACACACACACACGGTCTGATTTTTACTGACTCTCGTCTGATGTATTTGAATAATTTATGTGTTGGCCCAAGTATTGCAAAACTATAAAATTGTCCCATTTTTGCCAACTCCCAGCCCGAGTGCGGCCCCAGCTGAATTGAGTTTGAGACCCTTGTTGTAAGATGGATATTATGATGAGGGGTCCCCAGGGGTCAGAGCTGGGGCCCCTGTGGCACTCACAGTCGGATGAGGAAGGGGTGCGTGACCTCGGACAGCACCTCCTTCTCGTTGTGGACGTGCGTCTCCTGCTTCAGGCGGATCACGTCCGGGATCTTCATCTGTTTCAGCGCAAAGAACGATCTGCTGTGTTTGTCTCGCACCAGAAAGACACGACCGAACGTACCAGTGCCTGCAGGGGCAAAAGAGAGAGACCATCAGCGAGAAAGACAGGACTTCAGAGAGAGAGAGAGAGAGACAGACCACCAGAGAGAGAGAAAGAGACCATCAGAGAGAGAGACAGGACATCAGAGAGAGAGACAGGACATCAGAGAGAGAGAGACCATCAGAGAGAGAGACAGGACATTAGAGAGAGAGAGAGAGAGAGAGACCATCAGCGAGAGAGATAGACCATCAGGGAGAAATAGACTATGAGAGAGAGAGACTACAGGAGGCAGAGAGACAGGGACAGAGAGAACCAGAATAAAAAGCTGGAGAGCAACCAGAAAGAAAAGAGAGAGAGACAAGGGAGAAATAGACAGGAGAGCGAGAGAGACCAGAGGCCGAGACCAGAGAGAGCAAGAGGGCGAGAGAGACCAGACAGAGAGAGCTAAGAGAGAGAGAGAGAGAAAGGACATCAATGAGAGAGATAGACCATCAGAGAGAAATGGACTATGAGAGAGAGACAAGGCTGAGAGAGAGGGACAGGACTACAGGAGGCAGCAGCAACAGAGAGAGACAGGCCATCAGAGAGAGCGAAAGAGACCATCAGAGAGAGAGAGACAGGCCATCAGAGAGAGAGACAGGGACAGAGACAGAGAGAACCAGATGAAAAAGCTGAAGAGCAACGAGAAAGAGACAAGGGAGAAAAAGACAAAGGAGAAAGAGAGACCAGAGACCGAGACCAGAGAGAGAGAGAACCAGACGATGCCGGAGAACAAAAAGAAAGAAAAGAGAGGGATAGAGACGAGGGAGAAAGAGAGCTAAGAGAGAGCAAGCGTGCGAGAGAGAGACTTTATTCAAACTGAGATCACAAGACTTCTTACACTGCCAAAGACTTAGACCTCTTCCACGTCACAACATAGACCCACATTTATATCAGGTACTTGTAGCTCCGCCCCTTTCTGCCTTAATATCTCACGTGATCCCGGAAACATGGAAAAATAAGATTGAACGTTCTCCTGGCACTCAGCTGAGACTCGATAACAGTCTATTTCAAATGAAGATAAGAGAAAATGTATTCGTGCCACAGCTGGGAAATGTCAGGGTTGCAGCGTCTCTCTCTCTCTCTCTCTGGTGTGTGTGTGTGTGTGTCTCTCTCTCTCTCTGGTGTGTGTGTGTCCCACTCTCTCTGGTGTGTGTGTGTGTCTCTCTCTCTCTCTGGTGTGTGTGTGTGTCTCTCTCTGGTGTGTGTGTGTCCCACTCTCTCTGGTGTGTGTGTGTCCCACTCTTTCTGGTGTGTGTGTGTCTCTCTCTCTGGTGTGTGTGTGTCTCTCTCTCTGGTGTGTGTGTGTCCCACTCTTTCTGGTGTGTGTGTGTCTCTCTCTCTGGTGTGTGTGTGTCTCTCTCTCTGGTGTGTGTGTGTGTGTCCCACTCTTTCTGGTGTGTGTGTCTCTCTCTCTGGTGTGTGTGTCTCTCTCTCTCTCTCGTGTGTGTGTGTGTGTACCACTCTCTATGGTGTGTGTGTGTCCCACTCTCTATAGTGTGTGTGTCTCCCTCTCTCTCTCTCTCTGGTGTGTGTGTGTCTCCCTCTCTGGTGTGTGTGTGTGTCTCTCTCTTTCTGGTGTGTGTGTGTCTCTCTCTCCCTCTCTGGTGTGTGTGTGTGTCTCTCTCTCTGGTGTGTGTGTGTCTCTCTCTCTCTGGTGTGTGTGTCTCTCTCTCCCTCTCTGGTGTGTGTGTCTCTCTCTCCCTCTCTGGTGTGTGTGTCTCTCTCTCCCTCTCTGGTGTGTGTGTGTGTGTTTCTCTCTCTCTCTGGTGTGTGTGTGTGTCTCTCTCCCTCTCTGGTGTGTGTGTGTGTCTCTCTCCCTCTCTGGTATGTGTGTGTGTTTCTCTCTCACTCTGGTGTGTGTGTGTATCTCTCTCTCTCTCTCTCTGGTGTGCGTGTGTATCTCTCTCTCTCTCTCTCTGGTGTGTGTGTGTATCTCTCTCTCTCTCTGGTGTGTGTGTATCTCTCTCTCTCTCTCTCTGGTGTGTGTGTATCTCTCTCTCTCTCTCTGGTGTGTGTGTGTATCTCTCTCTCTCTGGTGTGTGTGTATCTCTCTCTCTCTCTCTGGTGTGTGTGTGTGTCTCTCTCTCTCTGGTGTGTGTGTGTGTCTCTCTCTCTCCCATCTCTCTGGTGTCTCTCTCTTTCAGTAGAGTCTTGTTGACGTTTTCCAACAGATTCACCCTTCGTTTTTTTAGATGAACTTTCTGTACATTTCCAAAAACGTCTCTATTTTTTTCCGATGACTCAGATTCCTTTCACACTGAGTCACTCATGATGCAATCCCAGCAGTGCTGAGGAAACCTTCACATTACTTGGTACTCTGGTCTCTCTTTCTTTCCCTGATCTCTCTCTCTTTGGTTTCTCTCTCTCTCTCCTTGATCTCTAACTGGTCTCTCTCTTTCCCTGGTTTTGGTCTCTAACTGGTCTCTCTCTTTCCCTGGTCTCTCTCTCTCTCTCCCCCTGGTCTCTCCCTCCAGTCTCTCTCTCTTTCCCTGGTATCTCTCTGGTCTCTCCCTCTCTCCACCCGGTCTCTCCACCCGGTCTCTCCACCCGGTCTCTCCACCCGGTCTCTCTCTCCCCCTGGCCCCCTGGTCTCTCCCCCTGGTCTCTCCCCCTGGTCTCTATAGTGATAACAAGAGCACATAGTGAGTGTGTTGAGTCTTGTCTTGGTCTCGTCACTGTTTCTTTATGACTCAGTCTCGTCAGAATCTCGGTGTTGACAGAATGTTGGCGACGCCACAGATTTCCACGTTCATAAAAGTCACAGTTGAAAAAGTCGTCTTGGCTCAACAACAACAACATTCTGCCTCAGGGCGACTGCGGCACACAACACCAAGTTCAACAGTTGTAAAGGAGCAGAGAGAGAGAGAGAGACCAGAGAGTAGAGGGAGAGGAAGAGCAGAGAGAGAGAGTCTTCTTTTTTTTCAGGTTGAAGCAGGATGATATTTGGAGGTTTCTGGTTTTAACCTGCAGTGCTGGTTTATTGTGCTCCTCCACTGGTGCTGTGGAGCGACTCATGGTTTTGTTCTCAGTCTGAAAATAACCTCTCAAAGAAAAAAACCAAACGTCAAACCCAACAATTTTGTGTGAAACGCAGAAAGCCCAGAGTCTAAAAATAAACTGTACAGAGCGCTTCAGAGAGAGGCACCGACTGCAGACAGTTGTATAATAATGTGTTTGTGGATCTGGAACAGACCCACACATCTCACCCACTGGTCTCTCTCTCTGCTGCTCTCTCTCTCTGCTGCTCTCTCTGCTCTCTCTCTCTGCTCTTTCTGCTGCTCTCTCCCTCTGCTCTCTCTCTCTGCTCTCTCTCTCTTCTCTCTCTCTCTGCTCTCTCTCTGCTCTCACTCTCTGCTCTCACTCTCTCTCTGCTCTCTCTCTCTGCACTCTCTCTGCGCTCTCTCTGGCTCTCTCTCTCTGCGCCCTCTCTCTGCTCTCTCTCTCTGCTCTCTCTATGCTCCTGCTCTCTCTCTCTCTGGTAGAAACACAATGCCTCTGAACCTGTCTGGACCAGTTTAAACTATTTACCAGCTCATAACAGTTTCATGTCTTCTAAAGGATCAGAATGAGGGACAAGAGACACAGTCCAGTTACTGTTACAGTCAAAGTCCATTTGGAATTGGACCAAAGCCCTTTAGCCACCAGCTTGACTCCATCCATCCATCCATTTTCTTCCCCTTAATCCATTTCTGGGTCGGGGGGGGGGTGGCAGTCAGAGCTGCACCCAGTACACATAGCACCAGCCCCTCACTGATCCTCCTGCAGGTGGTGAGTCCACAGGAGCTGAGACCAAGGACACAACGACAGCAGTCATCAGTGGGAGTCGTGAAGTAGGTCTTACGGTGGGCTCGAACCCACAACCTTCAGGCCCAAAGGCCAATGCTCTACCAACTGAGCTACTGTCGCCCTAAGATAGACTTGGCAATGTGTGGCCCAGGGGTCAAATATGGCCAAATTAATGTTTCTATGTGGCCGCTGACTTTTCCCATGATCCCCTAACGTCATACCATCTCCCTCCATTTAACCCATGAGTGCTACAATGGCATGTTATGGCTAATAATAACTCATCAAAAACTCATCTGCCCACGCAGCCTTTATACATGTAAAAATAAAAATAAACATTTAATAACATTATAATGTTCTCAGTTAACAAAAATATAGCAGTAGATGCAAAAGATGAGTGAACAAATGTTTACAGAAACACAATGAGAACATTGGAAATCTCAGGTTTAAATCTTCTCGTTTGTGATCTGAACCAGAGATGTCTTGAACAACCAGAGATGTCTTGAACCAGGACTCCGGGATCAAGACTTTACTAATAACAAACATCCATCCATCCATTTTCTACCCTTTAATCCATTTCTGGGTCAGGGGGGTGGCAATCAGAGATGCCACCCAAGTCTCATAGCACCAGCCCCTCACTGATCCTCTGCAGGTGGTGAGTCCACAGGAGGACGGCTTGATCTTTCAGTGGGGGCTTTGGGCAAAGTGGGGTTAAGTGTCTTGCCCAAGGTCACAACGACAGCAGTCATCAGTGGGAGTCGGTGGAGAAGGTGCACAGGTGGGAATTGAACCCACGACCTTCTGGGCTTAAGGCCAATGCTCTACCAACTGAGCTACTGTCGCCCTTAATAACAAACACTCATCTCATTTTAAGATTTGTTAATGTTAGCTTAGCCTAGTTAGCACATAGCATTAGCCTCATCTTATCAGCCTACTTCATACTGTATAGATGTGTTTTATTATATTTGAATAAAACTGGTCATACATTAGAATTATTTGTCTAATTGACACTAATGCCAATACTTTTTACTTTTCAGATAATGCCGTTCTGTAGATAAACGTTTATCTGAAAGTATTTAACTACAAAAAGTAATAAGTAATGTAATAAGTAAGCGAAGAAAAACCGTCATTTTAGCCTCTTGCTTGAGAGACCAGATGGAGAGAGACCAGAGAGAGAGACCAGAGAGAGAGACCAGTGAGAGAGAGACCAGAGAGAGAGACCAGTGAGAGAGAGACCAGAGAGAGAGACCAGTGAGAGAGACCAGAGAGAGAGAGACCAGAGAGAGAGACCATTGAGAGAGAGACCAGTGAGAGAGAGAGAGACCAGAGAGAGAGACCAGAGAGAGAGAGAGAGAGAGAGACCAGAGAGCGAGACCAGAGAGAGAGACCAGAGAGAGAGACCAGAGAGAGAGACCAGAGAGAGAGACCAGAGCCATTTTAGAGTCCAGAGAAATAAACAAGAGAGAGAGAGACCAGAGGGAGACCAGAGAGAGAAATCAGAGAGAAACCAAAGAAAGAGAGACCGACAAGTTATTGTCCATATTATCACCAAGAGATTCAACCTGCTTGGATAAAAAGAGCCAAAATCCCTCAGTATTCAGTTCACTCTGATTAAAATAAGTAATCTTAATCTCGTTGCCACGCACCATTTGAGCAGCACTTTAAACCCACATTACGAGGATTAAACCTGGATTAATGTTCCATAAATTTCCCAAAAACCAGGACTCACCCACTGTGGCCACGGTCTCCAGCTCCTCCAGACGGTACATCCGGTTGCCCAACGCCGCCTCGCCTTCCCCTTTCCCCGGGCTGACTTTGCACTCTTTCCCGGCCTCATTCTGGAGCACACATTTGGCTTTGGGAGACGCCATGTCCAAACCCGGCGATCAGCAGATTTTTCCCGGTTAAAAATAGCCCAAAACACGACAACATGGGTGACTTTTACGCATAGCCAGTCTATCCAGAAGCGCGCTGAGACTGCACTGACTCCATAGGTCTTTGTCTGGCTTTTTCACGTCTCCAGTAAAATCCACGCTTGTATTAATGATAAAAACAGTTACATTGAATAGTTACAAGTCTTGACAAATCGAAAAATTCACTCGTAAGGCGCAAAAATAACCAGTAGTTTTGGAAAATGTAAAAATTGTAGCAGGTGCACAGGCTCGTCTCGCCTCCTCTGAGCTACTTCCAGGCTCGCAGTGCAGTGGCCCAAGCGGGAATGAAATGAGGCAAATTGTGCTAAATATGTGCGGGTTTGACAGCGGAAACATACAGGGGAGCTGTGGGCAGGTGTGGGGAGGGATTAAGGCGAGTTTACGCTGTTTTGGTCCGTGCGTTAAAAAGAAATCAAGCGAAGACGGAGACCTCACCCAGCGACACATCCACAGACAGACAGGAAGCGCTCCAGTATCAGGGCTTTCACAATAAGAGACGAAAGCGACAATTAAGTTTAACTTGAAAAAAATAATAAAGAATAAATACATGTAAACTCGACAATTTGACTTTAATCTTTGGTGTTTAACGTCAGAACTTTCAGCGTCAGAATTTGGGCTGATCTTATTCAAACCAATGGAATTCTGTGAAATTCTGATTTTTTTCACCAGATGTATTAAAAATAAAGTAATGTATGATGTTTTATACAGTTAACTCACTTTGAATAAGAGTGACTATAACTTTAATTACAGCAAAAGCAGTTTTCTGTATGGCTAATGCTAAAGGCTAACTTCTGATAGTAAACAGTCTGTAACTGGCTCTGTTCTTCTCTGGTGAAAAAAACAAGCTGGACCTTGAAAAGGGATTTTAACTGTTAAAGTCGGTGCTAAACGATCAAAATTGGCTACATCTAAATTGTACATTTAAATTCATAGAGCAGTCCAGTCTTTTATAAGATAAGAGAACATTTATTCATCCTGTTTAATAATAATAATAATACATCAGTTTTATATAGCGCTTTTCAAGAACTCAAAGACGCTTCACAAGTTCATGACACAAACACACACGTTTAGACAGACACACAAACTAAAAAACTAAGAGTGAGGAAGAAGGGTAGAGAGTTTAAACTAAGAGTCAAATGCTCGGAGGAAAAGGTGAGTTTTGAGCTGTTTTTTGAAGGAGTGTTTCAGTGTTGTTTCAGTGTTGCACAAATAAAGGAGGTTAGAAAGAGCAAACGGGGAGCACACAACACATTAGTATCTGTAAATGCTTTTTAAGAGCAGTGGGTAAATATCGATTTATCTTTTTACGTATATATAATATGTGTATATTGTAAATTATATACATATGTGTTATTGACAGCAGTAGACCTTCACACAGTGAGGGTGGAGCAGTCTGTCACCGAAGCTACTCACCATAACAGACAGAATGTCCTGCAGGGGGCGACACTCCACATAGATGTTAGTTTGTCCAGGAGCCTTCTGTCCCCCACCTGCTGCAGTGTCCAGGGAACAGGACCTCAGGTCCTTAAGCCTAGTTTAAGAGTCCTCTCTGGACCCACACAACTCCAAGTCTGTTTTTGAGGAGAAACAATGTAGCTTGTGGTTAAACTACAGAAATGCTATATTTTAATTCGATGTTCAAATGTTTTATTATAAGTTTAGATCCTCTCTCCACAGACGGCTGTATCCCTGTCCGTCACAAAAAAAGATCCAAGTTTTATTTCTCTATTTCAGCCATTCCCAAACTCAGTAACACCGAGGCCCCCTTAAAAATCTGACGGGTCTGCGTGGCCCCCCAAAATAATAACCAAGAAGACAACATTAAGAATAGGCTCTTCTGGTTATTTTATTTTGGGGAAATAGCCTCTGCTACAAACATTGTAATACAAAAATGATTACAGTGGATCATTCAAGTCAAATAATGAACACAAATATTTTAATATTACAAACAAAACATTATAAATTTAACATTAAATAATTATATTATTTTTTTATTTTTTTTATGACCTCCCGCGGCCCCCCTGCAGTACCCTCGCGGCCCACCAGGGGGCCGCGGACCCCACTTTGGGAGACACTGCTCTATTTACTCCTGTTTTTACCGTGACATAGGACGCTCTTATTGTGAAATTCCGGCCGGTGTTTCCGGTCATGTGTGAAGTGTTTTTCAGCCACAGAAACAGAGCTGCGGTGTTGACACTCTGCGACCAATCAGCGCACAGGCCTGCCGGGGGATCAGCCAATGGGAGCACGGGACAGGGCCGGGCCGCTGGACTGGAGAAGAAGACCTCTGAGTGAATAATGCAAGAGTAAGAAGAAGTGGACTTATGTAAGGAACCTCCGCAGACTGGACACGAGATATGTACGAGATATGTACGAGATAGTATGTGTGCAATAATCTGAAGAATGTCAGAATGTGCAACATGATTTATTTAGCTAAAGTTAGGGATTCTACTTGTTTCTTTATTGTGCTAAAGCTAGGAGGTTTTCTTTTCTTTTCTTATAATGTAAAGTTTTCATTTAGTTATCTTCTGCTGAGTTCTCCTCATTCTACAGTTCTGTAACTGGCGATGCAACACTGACATTTCCCCACTGTGGGACCAATAATCTTAATCTCCCAGAGGGAGAGAGACCAGAGGTCAGAGGGAGACCAGAGACCTGAGGAAGACCAGAGAGAGCCCAGAGGGAGACCAGAGAGAGACCAAAGGGAGACCAGAGAGATACCAGAGGGGGACTGGAGAGAGAAACCAGAGAGATACACCAGAAAGAGAGACCAGAGACAGAGCAGAGAGAGAGACCAGAAAGAGACACACCAGAGAGACATACACCAGATAGAGAGAGACCAGAGACAGACACCAGAAGGAGAGACTAGAGAGAGACCAGAGGGCCAGACAGAAAGAGACCAGAGATCGGACCAGAGAGAGAGACAAGAGAGGGACCAGAGTGAGCAAAGAGAGATCTTGTTATATTTTGTGAAAGAAAGGCCCTGTGAGTCACTATTTGTCTCTTTGGGCTCAGAGCTGATTGGTCGAGTGAGGGTGATCCTCTCTCGTTCATGTTTGTGTCTGAAAAAACGGATGTAAAGACCATGTGACAGATGTAGAAATACATAAAGACTATACTATTCTAGTGAGCCAGGAACTATAGATACTATTGTTGTGATCCTAAAGTTACATACCCCAGCTTTAAAAAATCTCTCTCTGGTCTCTCTCTCTTTCTTTGGTCCCTCTCTCTCTCTCTCTCTCTCTGGTCCCTCTCTCTCTCTCGCTCTCTCTCTGGTCTCTCTCTCTCTGGTCCCTCTCTCTCTCTCTGGTCTCTCTCTCTCTCTCTCTTTCTGGTCTCTCTCGCTCTCTCTCTGGTCTCTCTCTCTCTCTCTCTGGTCTCTCTGGTCTCTCTGGTCTCTCTCTTTCTGGTCTCTCTCTCTCCCTGATCTGATTAACACTGCTCAGAGGTACATGTGTCCGACTGGTCTCTCTGGTTTCTCTCTCTCTGGTCTCTTTCTCTCACTGGTCTCTCCCTCTGGCCTCTCTCTCTCTCTCTCTCTCTCTCTGGTCCCTCTCTCTCTCTGGTCTCTCTCTCTCTCTCTGGCCTCTCTCTCTCTGGTCTCTCTCTCTGGTCTCTCTCTCTCTCTCTCTGGTCTCTCTCTCTGGTCTCTCTCTCTCTCTCTGGGCTCTCTCTCTCTCTCTCTGGTCTCTCTCTCTCTCTCTCTCTGGTCTCGCTCTCTGGTCCCTCTCTCTATTCTATTCTCATGAAAGAATAGTTTCCAGGTTCAATTAAAAACAATATTTCTTCAGCCAATGATAATCTCAGCAAACTCATTACCGCAGAAAGCCCTTCCCTCGCAGTTTAAACCCGTTTCCAAATGTATAAATCCTCTCGTTTCGATAAGATCTCGTTATTATTCATGAATGTTCCACCACAGCCGGAGACAAAGTTGTTTTTTTTGAAAGACGCAGATGGAAAATGGAGCTTCATCAATCCGACTAATGGACATCGGCAGAAAAGAGCGAAACAAGGAGAGAGAGTTTAGAAGAGACGCTCTCTCTGGGCTCCCTCTGGTCTCTCTCTGGTCTCCCTCTGGTCTCTCTATGGTCTCCCTCTGGTCTCCCTGTGGTCTTTCTGTGGTCTCTCTCTGGTCTCTCTGCTCTCTCTTGGTCTCCCGGTCTCTCTCTCTGGTCTCCCTCAGTTCTCTCTGGTCTTCCTCTGGTCTCTCTCTGGTCTCTCTTAGTTCTCTCTGGTCTCCCTCTGGTCTACCTGGTCTCTCTTAGTTCTCTCTGGTCTCCCTTAGGTCTCCCTCTGGTCTCTCTCTGGTCTCCCTCTGGTCTCCCTCTGGTCTCCCTCTGGTCCTTCTCTGGTCTCCCTCTGGTCTCCCTCTGGTCCCTCTCTGGTCTCCCTCTGGTCTCCCTCTGGTCTCCCTCTGGTCTCCCTCTGGTCCCTCTCTGGTCTCCCTCTGGTCCCTCTCTGGTCTCCCTCTGGTCTCCCTCTGGTCCCTCTCTGGTCTCCCTCTGGTCTCCTTCAGTTCTTTCTGGTCTCCCTTAGTTCTCTCTGGTCTCCCTTAGTTGTCTCTGGTCTCCCTCTGGTCTCCCTTAGTTCTTCTCGCTATGGTCCCTCCCTGGTCCCTCCCTGGTCTCCCTCTGGTCTCACTCTGGTCTCTCACATCTTTGACCCAGTTCCTGCTTCAGATTCTGCTCATGACTTTTCATTTCCTTCTGAGGTAAAAAAGTAAAAAGATGGAAAATGATGAAACAGAGTGAGATCCTGCAGAGTGTGACATCACTGATGGAGATTCTGGAACTCTGCGTTTGGAGGAAATCCCGTCTTCACAGATTCTTTTCAGTTTTTACATTTTGTACTTATTTATTTCCCATTTTAAAACAGGCCCTGGTTTAGTTTTTAGTCAAGACTGCATCCAGTTTTGGTCCGGTCTCGGTCCTGCTCTG